AGCGACGGCTGGGTGTAGCCGATGACGTGGCCAACTACTCCCCTGAAGATGGGCGGCCTGTCGCCGGCTGATGCCCTGATTTCGGCGTCGACGTTCTGCAGCTTGATCTTCTTGCGCCGGAAGTAATCTGGAAACCCGCCAAAGGCGCTGGGCGCGTATTCCTCGCCGTCCTCGCCTGCGAACTCGTGGTTCTCGAGGCGCTTCCGGACGGCGGTCGAGTTCTTTTCTAAGCGGCTGCCCATTGTGGCTGTCTGATAACATGTCGTCTCTTAAATGTAGTGTGGTGTCATCGAGGCCGAGAAGGTACTACTTTCTCGCCGTGGAAGCTGTCGTCATATGTTCATCGTCCAGTAGATCAGATAATCTAGAGGCGCGCATGAAAGAATCAAATAAGATAGTTAGTAACTAAGAAAACGTCCAACATCTCGAGCAATGCGATTGCGCCACGCTTGACAAATGACGTGTGGCGACTGGCAATCACTTAACGCGAAGTCACATGCTTGTCCGATAAGAAATTCACGATAACGATAACGATAAGAAGCTGCACCTGCCCAGATCGTCCACCATCAAAACACCAGCCGGCTTCTTTGCTCACCTTTCGTCAACGAAACCCAACCACCCAACCATCCTTGCCACAACTCCCTCTGGCGCCCGGGTTCTGCTCGCAGGCCCTACACCGACAGCACAAAAATGGACAACCAAGCCTTCAAATCCCTCCTCCTCCAAAACTCCAACAAGAATGGCACCTCCTCCTCCTCCGCACAAGCCCCCACGCCCCGCCTCGGCGGCGCCACCCCCGGGGAAGCCCTCGGCTCGCGCCTCAAGTCCTCCATCCCCATGACGCCCCGCTCCGTATCCCTATCCGCGCGCACCTCGCACCGCGACGACTTTGCGCGGCAGCTGGCCGAGAAGAAGGCCGCCGAGAGCGGCGAGCCTCGAGCCAAGAAATTCAGGACGAGGGCGCCCAAGGGGGTGCGGTTTGGGGAGGGGTATGTCGATCGTGCCAGGCAGGAGAGGGAAGATGGGGATGATGACGAGCGGGCGGAACGGTTAAAGGTGTTGGAGAAGAGGTACAGGGATGAGGAGATCGATGAGGCGGAATATGAGAGGTTGAGGGGGGAGATTGCCGGTGGGGATTTGGGGAGTACGCATTTGGTTAAGGGGCTGGATTTTAGGTTGCTTGAGAGGGTGAGGAAGGGGGAGGATGTGTTTGGGGAGAAGGGGGAACAACGAGAGGACGATGAGGAAGAACAAGAAGAGGAGACGGGGGAGGAAGACCCGGACGATGTGCTGGAGGAGCTGGCTGCTGAGGTGAAGCCGGTTGAGAAAGAGAAGGCGCAGAAGAAAGGCACGTTTGCGCCGGCGTCGGCGCTCGCGCCGGGGCAGAAGAGGAGCAGGAATCAGATCTTGGCTGAGCTGAAGGCTGCGAGGGAGGCGGCCAAGGCAAAGGCGGAGTCCTCTTTGGGGTCCAAGTTCAAGAAGATTGGGGAGCGGCCGAAGCCTGGTACGAGAATAGAGAGGGATGGCAAGGGACGAGAGGTCATGATTATTGTCGACGAGGACGGCAATGAGAGGCGCAAGGTCAGGAGGGTCGATCCCAAGGCTGCGCAGGAGGAGGCGAAAGAGGAGTTTAAGCCCGAGGGCGAGGCGCTCGGCATGGAGGTGCCTGAGTTCTACAGACTGCAGCAGGCCGAGAAGCTTGCCAGGCAGAAGGAGGAGGAAGAGAAGGAGATTAGCATCTTTGACGATGCCGGCTCGGACTACGATCCTCTTGCTGGTATGGACGGGTCCAGCGACGAGAGCGCCTCTGAGGACGAAGGCGAGGTTGATGAGAGCAAGCCGGATGTCACGCCCAAGGAGGGTGATGCAAGGACGGCAGAGGACAGCAGAGCAATGCCTCCACCACCCAGGCCGAAGGAAGCAGCACCAGCACGGCTGAACTACTTCAAGGACTCCAAGACCGGGCTGATATCGGCAGAATCACAGAAACGGCCGGACCTCAACGATCCGGCGATTCTGGCAGCATTACGCAAAGCAAGGGCACTCGACATGCAGACCAAGTCGGAGGAAGAAATCAAGGCGGCGGAGAGGGAAGCCAAGCTCAAGAAGATGCTGGAGGCTAGCAGCCGCGACGACGCGGATATGGACATGGGCTTTGGCTCGAGCAGACTGGAAGACGAGGCCGACATGGACGAGACGAAGGTCAAGCTGTCGCAGTGGGGTGAAGAAGACGACGATGATGAGGGCGGAGGGGGCGGCGGCAAGGTGAAGCGGAAGAGAGGGGGGAAGAAGCGGAAGGGGGATAAGGATAGCTTCAAGGACGTTATGAGTGTTATTGAGCGGAGGAAAGGAGATAAAGCCTGAGGTAGTCGTCCTCACGGCAGTGACGGGATATCAAACGACATCGTACAACGTTGCGCAAGTGCTTTGAAATGCAGATGTAGACTCAGGTAAGCTGCTCCCTAGCAAGACAGGCACTTAGCTTACAACCTTTCTCAGTTATTTGCCGTCGCTGGTGCTGATTTGGGCTAGAATCACCGGCTGTATTTACCATCAAAGTCTATTTTCACGTCAAGGCAAACATCACTCTGCCCGAGGCACACACCATTACACACAGCATTATGGCGCATTTTGATCGTCTCTTTTCAGCCGCAGCGAGTGCCTGCTAGCTGGTTCTGCTGGTCTCATTTCAGACCCTGCTGTTTCAACATGATGGATGGCACCGAGTTCTCTCTAGTTCAGCCCTCCTAAAGCATCCTATGGCGGACGATAGCGGGCACTTTCCCAATTGAACTTGTGTGGCCCGTGCTTTACTATATTAACCCCGGAGTTTAGATGTAACCAATCAGAAAGTAGAGGCCCCACCGCGCTTATAATTATACCCTAGCTTTTTTAAGGCCCTACACTACTACAATTATAGGCCCTACACTACTATAATTACAAGCCTTATACTACTACAATTGCAAGCCTTGCACTACTACAATTGCAAGCCCTACACTACTACAATTACAGGCCCTACACTACTACAATTGTAGGCCCTGCACTACTGCAAATTGCAGGCCCTACACTACTACAAATTACAAGCCTTACACTACTACAATTACAAGCCCTACACTACTATAATTGTAAGCCCTACACTACTACAAGTTATAGACTCTACACTACTACAAATTATAAGCCTTACACTACTACAATTATAGGCCCTACACTACTATAATTACAAACTTTATACTATTATAAATTATAAGCTTTATATTATTACAAATTATAAACTTTATACTATTATAAATTATAAGCTTTATACTATTATAAATTATAAACTTTATATTATTATAAATTATAAGCTTTATATTATTATAAATTATAAGTTATAACTTTATAATATAAAGTTTACTTATATTTAACTTATACATAATATTATACTTACTTTACGTATAATATTATACTTAAGTACTTTATACGTAGTATTATATACTTTATAATTTATAATAGTATAAAGTTTATAATTTATAATAGTATAAAGCTTATAATTTATAATAGTATAAAGCTTATAATTTATAATAGTATAAAGCTTATAATTTGTAATAATATAAAGTTTATAATTTATAATAGTATAAAGCTTATAATTATAATAGTATAAAGCTTATAATTTATAGTAGTATAAAGCTTATAATTTGTAATAGTATAAAGCTTATAATTATAATAGTATAAAGCTTATAATTTATAATAGTACAAAGCTTACAATTATATAATCTTCCTTTTAAAAGTTTATTAACGTAGTATAATAAGTTAAAAATTCTCTACTTAAGTATTAACATAACTAAATCTTTACTTAAAAAGCTAAAAAGAAAAGTAATACTAATATAAATATAATAATCTACTTAGATATTTTAATACATTTGATTTTCGTTAATATTATAATACTATTTTCTAAATAAGATCTTAAATAGCGATCTTTTAAGGGAAACGCTAAATAAGTAGGGCTATAGGGATAAGACTTCTTTCGTAGAAATCTAAGTTCTTTTTATTAGTTAAGAACCTTAGCTTAGCCCCTTACTTCTCGTACTAAACTAATAAACTTTCAAGGGTTATACTATAGTAGTACAAGGCTTACAATTTATAGTAGTACAGAGCCTACAATTGTAGTAGTACAGGGCCTACAATTGTAGTAGTGTAGGGCTTACAATTGTAGTAGTACAGGGCCTACAATAGGAGAGCGCTGGACCAGTCTAGCTTTAGGAAAAGCTTTGAGGTACGAAAAGTACTTCGGGTCAGCTCCTAGCTAGGGAGCTCACTCGCAGCCAATATTAGAGCTGACTCGCAGCTAGTATTAGAGCTGCACTTGGAGCTAGCTCCCAGCCAGCCGTGGAGCTCACTCCCAGCCAGCCGTAGAGCTTACTCGCAGCTAGTATTGCAGCTCACTCGTAGCCAGTATTGTAGCTCACTCCTAACCAGCATTGGAGCTCACTCGCAGCTAGTATTGGAGCTGGCTCGCAGCTAGTATTAGAGCTACACTTAGAGCTAGCTCCTAGCTAGCCGTAGAGCTTACTCGTAGCTAGTATTAGAGCTAGCTCGCAGCTAGTCGAGGACTTTACTCGTAGCCAATATTATAGCTGGCTCGTAGTTAGTATTGGAGCTGTACTTGGAGCTGGCTCCCAGCTAGCCGTAGAGCTTACTCGTAGCTAGTATTGGAGCTGGCTCGTAGCTAGCCGAGGAGCTCACTCGTAGCTAGTATTGCAGCTGGCTCGCAGCTAGCTATAAAGCTCACTCGTAGCTAGTATTACAACTAGCTCGCAGCTAGTATTAAAGTTCATTCGTAGCTAGTATTATAGCTAGCTCGTAGCTAGCCGAGGAGCTTACTCGCAGCTAGTATTGTAGTTGGCTCCTAGCTAGCCGTAGAGCTTACTCGTAGCTAGTATTACAGCTATATAGGTTATATTATATATAGAGTTGGAGGGGAAAAATATATAAAGTCGAAAAAGAAAAAAATATTAAAAAGATAGAAGCTCTAAGAGTCGAACCTAAGTCTTTCGGATACTAATCCAAATATTCTATCCGTTAAACTAAACCCTCTAATTAGTAAATAACAAATAAAGCTTAATTCTTAATAGTATAATAAATTCGATTCTAATATACTCTTTATTATATAACGGATATAGTTTAAAAGTCGTATACTTTTAATCTTCGAATATTCGACTTTGCTATTAAAGTAGTCTATAACGGACTAAAAACGATACTCTTAGAGATTATAAAACAAATGAATTATAAAGTTATTAGTAAAGCTATTAATACGCCTAAGAAGACGTATAAGAAGCTTATTCTAAGGATTAAAGTCTTAGCTTTGTTTAAAAAAATACGCTACCAACTAAGGGCTTCGTATATTAAAGTAGATAATCGAAGACTACTATCTAACCCCTTTATTTCGTATAGGCTTCGATATTTAGAAAAAATAGTTATTATCGATAAAGTTAACTCTTTAAAAAATATAGTAGATAATAGCTTAAGTCTACTACGGTAACTATACTAAAACTTTCTAAGTCGCTTATTTTAATACTTTATATAAATAAAGACGTTTTACTTTAACTTATAATATCGATAACTTATTCTATTTTCTACTAATACTTATTAGCAAAATAACTATTAATAAACATTTATTATCTACTATTCTTTTTAATAAAACTAGTTTATAAGGATAATAATTTACTAACTTAGTAGCTTATATATTATTACTACTAAGTAGAGTAGAGACCTTAGTACTAGTATTTCGCCTACCTTCGTAACTTTTACCTCGTTTAATACCTACTTTATAATTACTATAAAATAGTATTCTAATATCTAACCTTAGAAGAGCGATAAACTCGAATCGAAGTAACTTACGAATTAAATATCCTATACTAATTCCAATATATTCGTCCTTCGATAGTAGTACCTTCTACGAAAAAGTCTTCTACGATAAACAACTTCTATTTACTACTATAAATATATTAAGGCTTTCGAACTCTTTTATTCTACTACTTTTCTTCGTAAAGCTTATTTCTAATTTATAAGCTTCGAATCGATAATAGAGTTTCTTATATAATACCTTACTTATATTAGTAGTAGTACTTCGAAAAAAAAGTTAGTTGAATATTACTTTATCGTAGAACTTTAGGATAAAGGCTTATACTTTAGCTTAGCGTAAAGATAAGGAGATATTGGATTCTAAAGAGAAACGGCGTAATTAAGTATCGCTAATATAGTCTATACTAAGCTATAGACGATGTTTTCGAAGCTTATATAGTAAAAGAATCGTAGGTTTAGTAGCTAAGCTCTCGATATAATTGAATAAATAGCGGAGAATCTTATTATAAAGCCCAAAATCTTTACTACGCTTAAAGAAATACGAGACTAGCTATTAGAGTTACTTCTTATAAACTAATATAAGGTAAAGGAAAAGATATTATAAGCGTTTTAATATATTAGTTTTTATTAAAGTTAAGAAAAAATACTAGATATTCGATTTCGCTACTAATATAATTTATAGTAAGCTAAGAATAATATCCTTAGAACTTATAAAGTAGATAAACTATAACGTTATTAGCGAAGGTAGTAATACAACTAAGAAAATATATAAGAAGTTTATTCTAAAGATTAAGGTCTTAGCTTTATTTAAGGAAGTACGTTACTAGTTAAAGGCTTTGTATATTAAAGTAGATAGTCGAAGACTATTATCTAACCCTTTTATTTCGTATAAGCTTCGATATTTAAAAAGAATAGTTATTATCGATAAAGTTAATTTCTTAAAGAGTATAATAGACGATAGCCTAAGTCTACTACTATAGTTGTATAAAGGTTTTCTAACTTCCTTATTCTACTATTTTATATAAATAAAGATACCTTATATCTAACCTTTGAAGTATAACTTAGTTGTAAAGTCGATAGCTTATTTTTATAAAGATAACAACTTAATAGCTCGATAATCTATATATTATCGCTACCTAATAAAGTAGAAACTCTAGTATTAGTACTTTACTTACTCTTATACCTTTTATTTCGCCTAATATTTACTTCTATTCTAACTTTAATACTTAATTTTAGAAGTATAACGAACCTAAGTTAAGATAACTTATAAGTTAAGTATCTTATACTAATTTTATTATATTCGTTATTCGATAATAGTACCTTCTTCGGAAAAGCTTTCTACGATAAGCAACTTCTATATATTACGATAAATACGTTAAGGTTTTTAAACTCTCTTATTCTACTATCGTCCTTCGCGAAGTATAAGCTTCGAACCGAATAACTACGACTAAGGAGATAAATCGCTAATAAAGCGTTGTATATAATACCCTATCGACGCTAGTAGTATTACTTTAAATAAAAAGCTAATTAAATAGTATTTAACTTTAAAACTTTAAAACTAAGGCTTATACTCTAGCCTAGCGTAATTATAGATAGATATAGCTGCTTATAGAGGAACGGCTTAACTAAATACTACTAATATAGTATACGATAAGCTATAGACGATGTTTTTAAAGTATATAGAGTAGAAGAATAATAAGCTTATTAGCTAAACTTTCGATACGATCGAATAGATATATAAGAACTTTATAATAAAGCCGAAGATCTTTATTATACTTAAAGAAATATAATACTAGTTAATAAGGTTATTTTTTATAAATTAATATAAAGTAATAAGAGAAATATTATAAGTATATTAAGATACTAGTCTTTACTAATATTAAGAAAAAGGGCTAAGAGTCCGATTTCGCTATTAATATAAAGCTAAAGACGATTTTTCGAAGCTTATAGAGCCGATAAACGATAAGTTTATTAGGTAAGTTAGTAATAAAATAAAGAAGATATATAAAAAGCTAATTTTAGAGCTAAAGTCTTTGTTTCTTTTAAAGAAATACGTTTTTAACTATAAGCTTTACTTAATAAAGACGATAATCGATTCGAAATACAACTTTAAAAGACGTTACTAACTACTACGTTCGCTACATTTAGTAGACGCTAATAATATAGAATTATAACTATTATATTTTTATAACAGTCGAACTATAAATTTCCTTTAAATCGTTTTTAAGACGTCCTACGATAGCCTCTATCTTTATAAACTAATATAGTACCTTTAGTAGAGTATTATCCCTAATATAGGATTATAAGTAAGAAGAGCGCTATAGTTTATATATAATAGGAAATACGACTAGTACGTAGCTATTAAAGGTATAGTTAGGCTACGGCGTTATTAGGAAAGAGTTGGGAACTATCGTATTTATCTTAATTAAGGTAAAAGTCTACTTAGCTTAACTTAGATATAGAAGGCGGCGTAGGTCGAAACTCTAGTTATCGATTAAGCCGTTAAACGATGTCGTTAATATAATATCGTTAGGGTACCCCTTAATATTTTCGTTAATAAGGTAGAGGTAGATATTATTCCTTATTAATACCTAGTTAAGTTAGAATAAGTTTTAGAATATACGGAACTAAAGTCTTAAATATAGTAAAGGTATAGGAATAAGGCCTAAGCTACGAAGTTTCTACTATTATTAGTTGTAAGTAGACTACCTCGTCTAATATTAGTCGAATATTAACGGTAAACTAGTTAGTCTACTACTCTTATAGTCTTTATTCGAAAATAGGAGGCTAAGCTTACGATACGACCTTAAAGTATATCGTATCGTAGAAAAGACGACTTTAGTTCGAATCGATTAAGAGGGGCTAGTATAATCGTAGTAGTATAGGGTTCGGATTTAGACGTATATAAGTATCTATTTCGAACTAATTATAATACTAAAGGCTAGTACTAATAGCCTAAAGAACCTACTTTACTCGAAACGTAAAATAGACTACTAGATCTATATTAAGTAGTATATCCGAATCCTCTTCTATCGCTATAGTTTAAGTAAGTTAGACGCTATTTATTATAATAAGAGAATTGGTATATAATGCTATTATCGCTAAAACGAATAAAGCTTAAGTATATACTTATTTAATAGTAGACTTATTAAACGTAAAAGAGAAAGTAGATAATTATAAAAAGAGGAAGAAGAGATTAGATAACGAGGGTAGAAGATATACCTCCTTTATATATCGACTTTTGCTATACTTATATTAGAAAGAGGTCGTTATATAATTATTAAATAATATAATACTTACTAAGCTTCTACTCTTTAGTATCTAATATCGAGAAGTTAGTCGATATTAGTATTTTTACTTATTTTAACGTATATATTAGAAAAGCTATAACGAATAATATAACTAATACCTTTAACTTATATATATTAACGTTCGAATAAAAGGTTCAATATACTTATAGTTAGCTTTTATATTAATAAAAAAATATAAGTAGATAAAGGTAGTTTACCTCGTACGTTTACTAGTAATAGTACTACGTTTCTTCGAGGCTAATATAGTCGACGTTGTTATCGATTAACGTTTTCTCAAAGTACCTTCTACAAGTAACTCGTCTAAATCGTTTTCCGTATTAACTAACGTAGTCTTAGCCTCCGAAATAACGAATTTAAACTCTATAGTATAATAACGAGTAAAGACTTATTAAAAGATATAATAAAAACTATATCCTCCTAATCCGTTTATAACTAGTTATTAACGCTAATCTAATCTTCGTCCGGTTATAATAATATAGTTACCTAAGAGCAGAGATAATCTCCTCCGCTAATAATTAATTCGGTAAGAATAGTTATCCTTAAAACTACGCTTATAAACGCCTATATCGAAGTTATAGTACTCGACTTAGTAGCTTATATATTACGAAACGTACTAAACGAACCCGTAGCGTCTAAAGAAGAAGTAGAAGGTATTATATCTTTACTTCGAGTCGGCGTAGCGGGTATTATACCTAAACTAACGACCTTCTTCTTTAAAGAAAATGGGCTATTAAGCGTACTCCTACTCGATAATATTATAGCGGGCGATCGCTTAAAAGGCTCTTAAATAGAAGTAGTCCTATACAAAAAAGACTAGTCGATAGCGAAAATAACTAGGATCTTAACCTTATCGCCGTTCGTTAAGATAATAGTAAACAACGTATTATCGAGAACGCCTATTACGTTCCTTATAACGAAAAT